TTGTTCTCATTGATGGTGATGGCACTTTTAAACTCTCTAGAAAAAGCGTTGCCAAATGAATAAGTGATGCGTTAAAGAAGCAAAAGCAATTACGACTATTGACTTTCTTGGTGACTTCGATCTTTATAGAAAATTGAACAACTGGATCAGAGTGCATACGATTCTTTGACTAAAATTTTGGAAAAACGGTGAAACAGTATTCAAAATCAACTTTTTGAGAGAAGTCAATCATCTCTAAAATGCTTGGAATTCAATAAAAGTCCAATAGATTAACCTTTATTGAATTCATTTCTAAAATAATTTATTTTTTCCTGATTGACAGGAATCACACTTACAAAAGAAGAGTTGATTAAAAGTCAAAAAGAATTCTTGGGATGCATAAGCAATTGTTAAGTGAACTTGAAAAATTTCCTGAATTTTTCAATCGCAAGTATAAGACAAATATCAATTGGTATAATTCCAAAGGGCTGACAAAATTTTATCTAAAGCATCTAAAAAACGAAACTTTAAATCGATTTATTTTTTTGAGTACAAAATCTAGAAAGCAGGCAGTGATATTTGGAAAATATCACTGCATCCTTCGTGCATACTGCATTCAATCAACAATCCAGATGCTACTATTGAAGGATCTATTTTTGAAATAAAAATGAGAATTAATAAGGTGCATCAGGGATTCTAGAAGGATATTTTATGCAAAAATAGGGCTTTTGAAATGCATATTTTGATTTATCCATCATGTGATTCTTCTCATAAAATGGCTGTTTCATAAAAAGATAAGTGCTAACTTTCCAACATAAACATCCAGAAAATATAATTGTCTTTGATTAATTTTACCATAGTCTAAACATAAATGCTATATATTTATATAAATTGTTTCAGAATAATCAAAAATACTATTCAAATTTCTCAAGAGAGACCTTTGTATGATGATTTAAAAATTATTAAAATTTTAGTTTGCCAACATCAATGAGAAATCAACTATAAAAAAAATTTACAAGATTAAATGAATGAAGCCAAATGTGTTAATAAATAAATCCATATTTCTGAGACATTTTTCAATTGTATACAACAAAAATTGTCATTATTTATGAGTTTGATTATCCTCAAATAAATAATTAATTTTATTTCTTAAAAGTTGGCAACACTATAATAAGGTCATTAAAAAGCAATTTGCAAGAAATTAATAAGCCAGAATCTCTCTCAGCTATCAAAGATTGTAGTGTCTACCAAATGTAAAACATCAATTACAGTAGAGAGTTCAAAACCAATACTCATGTTAAAGTGAATGGCGAATTTATGAATTAAAAATAAAGAATCTTAGTATTTTTTCTACCTGTTTAG